ACTAATCTAATAACGCTCACGCATAATACATCCCTAATCACAAAGCAAAAAACAATATGGATCACACATGATTGCATCACTAATAATAAACCAAGAATAGAATAATGCTCACATTAATTCATCACTAATAATAAAGCTACAATATAAGGGTCACACATTAATACATCACCAATAATAAAAGAATAATATAATAATGCACACGCATTAATTCATCACTAATTATAAACCAGTAACAAAGTTAACATTAATATTCTTCTTTAATTTTCTATTTCACAGGCATAGATTAAATTTAGTGACAGACTAAAATGTAAGTAACTTCAATTTAAAGTAATAGTTTGAATGCACTGCTTTTACATGTAATAGAACAGTAGTTTTCAAAATGTAGAAAATATTTTCTTTTTGAAAATGAAAATATTGTCTTAAAAAATTGACATTACAAAGAGATAGAATTTCACTTATTCGCTGTCTCAACTAGGACAAACATTGTTATTAATGGTATAATTATTTTAATTTCTCACCACCCGTTTACTGCCACAGTATATCTTTCTCCAACTACGGCTGTAAATAGTTGGCTAAAATCTGTTTGTCTGCTGACATTGCTCCAAATATCTTCTTTGTGTTCCTCAAAACAAAGAAATTTAAATGTATTTGGTACAACTTGAGGGTGAGTCAATTTTAATATTTGTGGAACCTATGTATTACTTTAACCAATGTGTTACTAGATGGAACCTCAATTCAGGAGACGGAATGATGGCAGCCTGAATCTGACAGATACAGTGGAGGCAACAAAAGTGAAGGAAGCTAACAAAGGAAAGCCCTACAGAAAATCATTGTCCCCAGAGGCAGTACTGGACAAGGTCAAAAAAAGCTTAAATGAGCACCATGGAGATGTGACTAACAGAAAACATCTGCTGGGTTTCTTTGAAGAGGGCCCCCACAGGAGTAAGTAAAGGCTCCAAAGAACATGCCCACAATAAAGTGAGTTTTATAGAACATATTGAGCTTTTTCCTTCTCGCAGAATTGCCTTTGCCATGAAGGAAGAGCAATATGATGGGAAACCACCTAGCAGTCTGCCACGGCCTAGCACTCCGCCATGACCCAACACACTGCTCCTACCAAGCATTCTGCTCCTACCCAGCACTCTGCCCAGGGTACCCTAGGATCCTCAAAATTAAATGCAAGGTTTTTTAAGATCTTTTCAATAACATTTCAAATGAAATTTAATGCCAACTTTGTACCCATTCTGGCAAAAGTATGAGGGAAAATGTCAAATCTGTATAAAGTTTGTGTGATGTTTATGTATTTCTGTGATGATGACAATAGACTCGCATGCTGGAGGAAACATAGCTCTTTTTTATTCACTTGCACACTAACTTCCTTACATGCGCCACCTGCATGTGACATCAACTCACGTGACTTCACAGATACATCCAAATGCATATGTTACAGTTTGAACCTTAGTAAATAATTATGTACAATTGGGCTACTTGAATTAAGTAAAGCATTTTATTTCAATTTTCTGTTATATTTAATACATATGCAACAGTGTGGTCAGCACCCAGTAGTGAATATGAAGGTCCAACGGAAGGTCAAACATGACTGAAAACCCGTTGTCACATGTTGCAGTGCCCTTTTTTGGACACTTGAGGTCACTAGCTTGTTTTGTAGTTTAACTTCATTTCCTATTATCCTTTGCACTTCTGATTGTATTCTGTTACAGCTGTTTCTTGTTTGTTAATTTAGCCCTGTATTTATAAACCCTTTTGTCTTGTGTTTTAGTTGCCTTAGGATTTTGTTTATTCCTCACGTCCGGTATGTTTGTTTGGTGATCTAGTTTTGTATTGGCTTATTCTTAGATTCTTGTTTGTTTTTGTTAGCACATATACCCAGTTTTGTATTTGCTTATTTTTGTATTTTTTGTCAGTTCTTTTGTCTGGACTCATTTCTTGAAGATTCTGTGCAAGATTGGGAAACTCCTTTTGTCTTTGTCTAAATAAATTGCTGCACATGGATTTTTGTGTTTTGTGATTCTCCATCTCATGACACCCGTTGGCCTTATTGACCTGGTCAGTCAGTTCTTTAGTTATAAAAGGATCTGAATTAAGTAATATATGCAGTTTTGTTGCTTCCACTCAAAAGTGTAACTGCAACCTCAGAGTCAGAAAACATGGTTTTAAAAACCTCTGTAATGTTCTTATTCAATGTGAAAGAGTGGTGCTCAGGGATTGTTTTAAAGACCCACATCACATCTGCCTGCAGAGCTGGTGTTGAGCCAAATATATATTGTATATATATTTACAACTCTTCATTAATGAATTATACCCTAATCTAATCTCTCTCTGTCATCTTTCAATCAAGCAATTTTCTCGTGTCAGCCCAATGATTGTTTGGTGACATCACCAACCAGAGCGAGAGGTGGCAGTAATGCATCAAAAACTTTGTTATCGACCACCGTAAAACAGGAAGAAGAAACTGTCATTCTTCTAATTTAAAAATTTCTTCATTACTTAATGTTAAAGCTGTTACAGTAATCAAAGAGGTTCCCGCTGCACAGAACTGCACAACAGGTGGTTGGCACTGACAAGCAGTACTACACGCGGTGTGTTTGGCAACCCCCCATATGGGAGTCCAGGGCCGTAACACCCATTGTCGCTAACGTTAGCTTAAAAGATTTCCGGCATCAACAGCAATAGGCGTTGCGGTCATTTCCTGGCACAGGCTTAACCCAAAAGCAATTCGGATTCCTTGGCCACAGCAACACTTTCCCATTTTAGCCGACAAACTGGGCTAGCCACTATCTTGTTCTGTGCCTCACCTCAAGTAACCAAATGACGGGTGCGCACGCTTTCACGCTTTCTGCTATGACGTGGAGCGCGAGGTGCACTCAACGTTACGCTGCATGAATTTTTAATTAGCCTACATTAGTAACAGTTCATTTTGTTACGGTATGAACTTAATCTTAGGAAAGGTAAAAATAAATGAAGAAAATTAAGACCTTTGTAATGAAATTCAAGACTTTATTTACAAAATTCAAGACTATTAAGGCCTTCATTTGAAATTATGAAATTTAAGAGTTTTTCAATGCTTTTAAGACCCCACGGGTACTTTGGACATGGACCTTCAGCATGCAGTGGGACAGTTTGCTGCTAAGTGTGACATGGCAGGAAAAAAAACAGCAGCTCAGAAACCATGGTGCTTGACTGGAAAAAGGTGGCCATCTCCAGTTTGGAGGAGAGTCCTTACCCCAAATAGAGTTCAGGTATCTGCTTTTTTTTTCATGAGGAATGGAATGTGAGATTTAAAGATGTTTCAGTGCAGCAGCAGCAGTAAAGCAGTTGATGTGATTGTCTGTTGTGGTTAAGGAGCTGAGATGAAAGGCAATGTTCTCAATTTACCGCTCAGTCTAGGTTCCTACTCTTACCTATGGTCATAACTGAAAGGACAAGATCTCGGATACAACCAGACACATTTTACAAAGTGTTATGACCCGCTTGTTTGAGTTGCAACATAAAAGAGAGATGAGCCAACAAAATAGCTTGAATGCAAATGATTTATTATAAAAGTAACTCATAGAACAATCAATCAAAGCAACCAACAAATGTCTATAGATAATAATAAAGATAAAGAACTTAGGATATAATCACAACAAAACTTTAACTGCATGATATAAGTAATGCAAAACAAAACTATAAGGTTAAAGAGTCAATGAAATGGCAGGTCTTGACATGAAGACTCCCGAGTAGCATCAGCGTCCTGGGGTAGTTAACACAACAACTTTTATATACCCATTGATGAGTAATGTAGGCATTCAATCAGGATTTACCACATACTCCAATCGGAAGTCCTGGGATCATTACAGTGTAGTAATATTGTAAAACTTAATACCTGTCGCTCTGCCTAAATCATAAAATATTCATCAAGTTCGTATTCTACTCAAACAAGTAAATGTATTAAACTAGAAAAAATCTTAAACATAATAGTAAAGAAACTTTACTAATAAAAGCTGCAACACAGGACAATTGAATGGGCTTTTTAAACTTGAGGTCCTGGTATACTGCTAACTAACCGTCCTGTAGGTCCACCTTCTTTGGTGTGCGGTGTCTTTCCAGTGACTTGTTTCTTATTCAGGGAGCCAGACAGAGAATATCATCCAAAACAACACAAGCTACATGAATACACTGGAGAGTGGAGTACAGATGTATCCGCACCTGTACAATCACTTGCAAAGAGATTTTAAGCCGCAGAGGTGCTGTTTGCCAGATGTTTATGAAAGTGTTCTTCACTCAGCTGCCATCATTGTGTTTACGGTAAACACGAGGATCGCAGCACATTTACAACCCCACCTACTGCAGTGTAGGATGTTGGAACACAGTATACCATCACTCAGCCTTTTGAAACATTATTCAGACATGAAAAATCCTGTGCACATGAGAAAATGTTTTGCTGCATTCATGTCTTCTGTGCACCTTTTTGTCCATGTGTTTCTTAAGCTGTGCCGAATGAGTGAAACTCTGTAGACACTGATCAGATCTGTATGGTTTCTCACCAGTGTGAATCCTCTTTTGTGTTTTCAGATGTGTTAACTGATTAAACCTCTTGTCAATTTGAAGACTTGTATGGTCCAGTGTGAATCGTCTCGTGCAGTTTCAATTTGAGCTGTAATAAAAGTCTTCTCACACTCAAAGCACAAATACTCGTTCACACCAGTGTGGATCTTTATGTGTTCATTAAGGTTTGCTGATCTGTTGAAACTCTCCCCACACTGAGTCCATGTGATTGGTATCTCTCCAGTGTGGGTCTTCATGTGTTTATTAAGTTCTGATGAGTTGCTGAAACTCATCCCACATCGAAGCTGCAGTCACACTAGTGTTTGAGCATGAGAAATTCTGTTGTACGACGCTGCGAAAAGGAGCGGGATTAAACAAGATGATTAGACATGTATAGTTTCTCTCCAGTGTGGCTCATGATGTGTAGATTAAGGGATGATGATTGGCTGAAGCTCTTCCCACACAGAGTGCATGTGAATGGTTTCTCTCCAGTGTGGATATTCATGTGACTGTAAAGGTGTGATGATTGGTTGAAACTCCTCCCACACTGGGTGCATGTGAATGGTTTCTCTCCAGTGTGGATTTTCATGTGTTTATTAAGGGACGATGATTGGTTGAAACTCTTCTCACACTGGGTGCATGTGAATGGTTTCTCTCCAGTGTGGATCCTCATGTGTTTATTAAGGTATGTTGATTGGCTGAAACTCTTCCCACACTGAGTACAAGTGAATGGTTTCTCTCCAGTGTGGATTTTCATGTGATTGTTAAGATGTGATGATCGGTTGAAACTCTTCCCACACTGAGTGCATGTGAATGGTTTCTCTCCAGTGTGGATCCTCATGTGTAGATTAAGGGATGATGATCGGTTGAAACTCCTCCCACATTGTGTGCATGTGAATGGTTTCTCTCCAGTATGAATCCTCATGTGTAGATTAAGGTATGATAATTGGTTGAAAATCTTCCCACACTGAGTACATGTGAATGGTTTCTCTCCAGTGTGGATTTTCATGTGATTGTTAAGGTGTGATGATTGGTTGAAACTCTTCCCACATTGAGTGCATGTGAATGGTTTCTCTCCAGTGTGGATCCTCATGTGTAGATTAAGGGATGATGATCGGTCGAAACTCCTCCCACAATGAGTGCATGTGAATGGTTTCTCTCCAGTGTGGATCATCATGTGAATCTTAAGATAGCCTTTTCTTCCAAAACTCTTTCCACACTGAGTGCAGGTGAAACGATTCTTGTCTCTCCTTTTCAAAATACCATTAGTCTGTAAATGAGTTTTTTCCTCAATTTTGACATGATGTTCCTCCTCTTTTCTCCCCTCATTCTCTTTAATTCGGTCTGAAATAAATAAATAAAACATTAGTTTTCATTAAGTCTTAAAATTTCTCATTAAAAGCTGAAAAGTGAAAAGACACTGGAAACATTGGTTACACTCACTGTAATTTTGATGCACATTAAATGTAAAATAAATCAGATCATATTTAATCCAAGATGGCAGCGCGTGCACAATGCGAGGCTCAGGGTCTCTCCAGTTTCTGCATTTTTGCAGTATTATTCCTGCTCATTTCGGGTCTGTTCGTGCAGAACAGTGGTGCCTTTACATTGTATACCCAACAGGAGCTCTTGGATATTGGTTTGTGGATTCCGGACAGTTTTATTAGCAATCTTCGACTCATCCATGAGATTGCCAGAACACCCCGGGCTGGGCGCCCTGCCCGGCCGGGCGGAAGTGCTCACAGACCGCGCAGAGAACGTAAACAAAGACGGGGGAAGCGTGGCGGGCTAAGAACTAAGCTAAAGCTAACACCACACCAGCTCTCTTTACCCAGCATCTTTCTCGCCAATTTACGGTCACTGGTGAACAAAATGGATGAGATTCGACTGTGCATCAACCACAGCAAAAGATTATGGAACTGTAACATCATGATTTTCACAGAAACATGGCTAAACAGCGGGGTACCAGACAACGCTGTATCGCTAACGGAGCATCACACATTCCGAGCGGACAGAACGGCGGATGACTCCGGTAAGACCAGAGGCGGAGGATTATGCATTTATATTAACAAAGCTTGGTGCACAAACTCTATCGTCGTTGGGAGACATTGCTCTGCTAACCTGGAATTCCTAATGGTTAAATGTAGACCTTTTTACCTACCACGGGATTTCACTTCCACCATAATATCTGCTGCTTATATTCCTCCCGACGCTGATGCAAAGCTGGCTATGAACAAACTTCATGCAGCCATCAGCAAACAACAGACTGCTCACCCGGAGGCTGCTTTTATTGTTGCGGGGGATTTTAATCACTCAAACTTAAAGACAGTGCTCCCTAAATTCCATCAAAACATTCTCTGTCACAGAAGGGGAAACAAAACATTGGACCATGTTTACACAAACATAGCTGAAGCCTATGCTGTGACCTCCCTCCCCCACCTGGGTCAGTCAGATCACCTTTCTTTGTTCCTTCCCCCCAAATACTCACCCCTCATCGACCATGTGAAGCCATCAGTGAGGACCATCAAAGTGTGGCCAGCAGGGGTAGACTCCACACTCCAGGACAGGTTTCAACACACAGACTGGGGTATGTTTGCTTCCCAGGCCACACATGGCTCTCACACAGACACTGACAGTTACACTTCCTCTGTTCTGGAATATATTAACACCACCATAGACAGTGTTACAACCCAGAAACAAATCACCACATACCCAAATCAGAAGCCATGGATGAACAAGGAGGTACGCCTCCTGCTAAAGGCACACAACACTGCCTTCAGATCAGGGGATGCACAGGCCTACAGCACTTACAGGGCTAATCTGAAGAGGGGCATCAAAAAGGCCAAGCACTGCTACAAGCTTAAGCTAGAGGAGCACTTTTCCAACTCTGATCCTTGGCGCATGTGGCAGGGCATCCAGGCCATCACCAACTACAAACCCAGCCAGTCCACACCCACAGACGTCTCCTTCCTGAATGAGCTAAATGACTTTTATGCCCGCTTTGATAGAGACAATAAAGAACCCTACACCAGGATCACTTCCTCCACCAACCACTCAGCTATCACACTCACCTCCTCAGAAGTACACATCGCACTGAGTTGTATCAATGGGCGTAAGGCTGCTGGACCAGACGGTATTCCTGGGCGTGTCCTCAAAGTATGTGCAGAACAGCTCGCTGGGGCATTCACAGACATTTTCAACCTGTCGCTCAACCTAGCAGCTGTGCCAACATGCTTTAAAACCACCTCTATTGTGCCAGTGCCCAAACACTCCAGCCCAACATGCCTGAATGACTACCGCCCTGTAGCACTCACACCCATCATCATGAAGTGCTTCGAGCGGTTGGTCCTGGCACATCTAAAAGACTCTACCATTCACACTGGACCCACATCAGTTTGCTTACCGTGGCAACAGGAGCACAGATGATGCAGTCTCTATAGCACTGCACTCTGTACTCACACACCTGGACAATAAAAACACTTATGCACGAATGCTGTTTGTGGACTTCAGCTCAGCATTCAACATTGTCATACCCTCCAAGTTACTGATCAAACTCAGAGACCTGGATATCGACACATCACTCTGCAACTGGATTATGGACTTTCTGACTAACAGACCTCAGAATGTTAGATCAGGCCACATCTGCTCCACCACCGTCACACTCAACACTGGTGTACCACAGGGCTGTGTGCTGAGCCCCTTCCTCTACTCCCTTTTTACCTTTGACTGTAGGCCTGTTAATAGATCCAACACCATCATCAAATTTGCAGATGACACCACAGTGATTGGTCTAATCAGCAACAATGATGAGATTGCCTACAGGGAGGAGATACAGCATCTGGCCACTTGGTGCACCGACAATAATCTGCTCCTTAACACCAACAAGACCAAGGAGCTCATTGTGGACTTCAGAAAGGGACGAACAGGCTCACATAATCCCATCCACATCAATGGGATGGCCGTTGAGCCTGTTTCATCCTTTAAGTTCCTGGGGACCCACATCTCAAAGGACCTTTCCTGGACCACCAACACCTCTAGCCTGATCAAGAAGGCTCACCAGCGCCTATTCTTCTTAAGGCAACTGAAGAAGAACCAGCTTTCATCAGCCGTCTTGGTGAACTTCTACTGCTGCACAATAGAGAGCATCCTGACAAACTGTGTCACAGTCTGGTATGGAAGCTGCTCTGTTGCTGAGCGTAAGGCACTGCAGCTGGTGGTGAAAACTGCCCAACGCATCACAGGGACCATACTGCCAGCCATAGAGGACATCCAGAAGAAACACTATTTGCACCGAGCACGCAGTATTCTGAAGGACACCTTTCACCCCGCTCACAGACTGTTTTCTCTCCTGCCCTCCGGCAGGCGCTTCAGGCTCCCCCGGACAAAAACCAACAGACTGAGGAACAGCTTTTTCCCCAGAGCTGTCTCCCTCCTGAACTCTGCCCCACATTGACTCTTTTGCCCCCCCAATACACCCCCCACTCTCCTCTAACTTAAACTCCTCGCAATAACTGCACTGTTTAACATTTGCACATTTAAAATTTGCACATATTCACTGCACCATATTGAACTGTTTACTTATTGAACTGTACATATCCACTGCATATGGGCATTTGTAATTATGTACACACCCACCATACATATACACTTGTAATCATGCTTATTTATCTGCATACTACTGATTATTAATACCGACCTGTACATATATTCATATATTGTAACATATACACTTGTAATCATGTTCATCTATCCCTGTACATATATTCATATATTGTAACATATACACTTGTAATCATGTTCATCTATCGCTGTACATTAGAGGTGTAACGATTTATCGTTGTATGATTTATTGCGATGCAAAAATGTCACAATATGCATCGTGGCGTTATGACGATTTCATTACGATACGACGTCCGTTTTCTCTTATTAGTTGAGCTGTTTGCATGTGAGCTACGTTCCACCTGCTGTCGCACGTGAGTTCAGATTGCAGCAGCAGTAATGTGAGCAGACCAAGATGAGTGGAGCTGAAATAGAGGATGGCCCATCCTCTCAAAATCAGACGTCTGGCAACATTTCGGTTGTACAGTCATTGCTTTAGACTCGTCCGCTTTTGACACGCTTACTGGGTCAAACATCCTAAGTTTTAAAGTCTTCACAGTGATTTACATACTTTGGACAGCGACAGGGATACCTCCTAATGGTGTTGAAAGAGTCACATACTATATTTATAAGGTACAATTCACCCTAAAATATCATTGTCTTCATATAATGTTCCCGCCGCAAAATCACACATGACGTGAGCTGTTACTACAGAGGGCGGACTTTGATAGAGGCGCGCGTATGGCAAGCCGTTTTAGCATTTAAACCTTTGTTCTGACTATCCATAAATATATTTAAAGATATCTCTAATTATATTTTGACTAGTCATAATTATAATTCGACTAGTCACAATGACAATTAGAGATATCTGCAATTACAATTGTACTAGTACGAAATCAGATTGGAGATATCTGCAAATATATTATGACATATATGTCATATTCCTCCATTGACTTCCATTGAAAAATATTTGCGGATATCTCTAAATGAGTTTTGACTAGTCACAATTGTAATTAGAAATATCTCTAAATGAATTTAATTAAATATGAATTAAATACCTGGAAATGTGGATTTATTTTTGCTCACACAAAAAACACAAGTGACCAAGCAAAGCCTTAAGCTCTTACTGTTAAATTCAATTAAATAGAAAGCTTATTTTTTTGCACCTTTACTTAAATTGTTCCTTAATTTTGTCTCTGTCATTTCAATAATATTTTTAAAGAAGTTTTTAAATTGTTTTATTTTCCAGAGACAGGCCTGTTTAATTTATTTTCTTAAAGAAGGTTCAGTTTAACAAGTACAAAGAACTACAAAAAAAAATAGTTTACTTGGTAAAATTAGCATTTCAGTTTAATTTTCAATTTTTATTCCAAATATCGTGATACATACCGAATCGTGAACATTATATCGTGATACACATCGAATCGTGAGCTGAGTGTATCGTTACACCCCTACTGTACATATATTCATATACGCTTGTAATCATGTTTATTTATCTGCACACTACTGATTATTAATAGCAACCTGCACATATATTCATATATTGTAAATCTACTCATAGCTTATCCAACCTGTATAAAATTTTGATAGTACATCCATCTGTAAATATCCCCATAGTTTTTCTATAACTGCACTTTATAACTTATTCCTGTATCCTGCACTTGCTGCTATTGCACTGCTGGTCAGACCTAAACTGCATTTCGTTGCATTGTACTTGTACATGTGTAATGACAATAAAGTTGAATCTAATCTAATCAAATCTAAAAACATGTAGTATATCTTTTGTTATTAACTACAAAATGAGAAAGAAGCCTTTAATGGGGTAGAACATGTACATGTTTGCTCACCTGGGTTTAAAGGGAATTAGCCAATTCTCCTCAACGTTGCTAATAAACTAATTTCTTTCTGTATGAAACGTCAAACAGACACGGTTGCTCTTGAGTCCTGTCAAACCTCCATTAGTTTTTCCTCCATTTTGTGGGTCCAAATAAACCGAAAAAGAGCGCTTTTAACTTCTCCCCCAGCCTCCCGCTGGCCTGCAGCAGGTATACACACATGCACACACAAGTGAATGTCGCTCTCT